GGACCACCCTCCTCACAGACCACCAGGAGGAACCATCAGGACCACCCTCCTCACAGACCACCAGGAGGAACCATCAGGACCACCCTCCTCACAGATCACCAGAAGGAACCATTAGGACCACCCCCGAAATGCATAAGAAGAAACCAGAATCCAGAAGTGATAGAACTCACGTGTGTTCCTACAGTTCAGAGGGAAACGTGATTTATTGAGATGAAGTTTAGTCACCAGGGTGAGAACATGATGTTCTGTGTTTAGTCATTCTGGAGATATTTATACTGCTCAAACCCAGAAGATCAACAGAGATGTTTTGGTTTTGTTCTGCTGTAGGAGCTAATTTAAGTTTGTTGGTTGAAACCTGTAACTGAAGGACAGTAAGAACATGGATCAGAACATGGAGTCATCAGCATAGAGACGCATGTTACCACCACAACCAGGGGACACATCATCCATGTACAGAGGAGCAGAACTGGGTTAGAACCACCCAGACTCTGGATTCCTGCTGTTTGTCTGTGAGGTGAGACTGAAACCATTTAACATCTTGTTCATGAAGCTCGCATCACTGCTGTCCAGCGGTAACAAACCACGAGCTCATCAGCTCAAGTGTGGAGGACTGAGTGCAGACACAGCACGCTGCTCCTCAGTCTGAGTTCTAGAAACCAGCGACCCAACAAAGGTTCTGCAGAGGCGAAGTGACTGTCGATTAGACCTCTGAGCTGTGCGTGTGCAGACAAGGGGATTGTTGCCAGTTCGACAACGTACAGGAGTCATAAAGCCGTGAAGCTCCTTTGTCGTAAATGAGTCATTCAACAAAACTTTATTATACAAAACATAAACAAAAAATCCAAAATCACTCAGAATTTTTCCACAATAACTTGGAATTTGTCCAAATAAACATAAAATTCACTCATTTGAACCGAAAATTTGATCAAAAATGAAAATCTTTAAGGATTTTAACTCGATTCTAGTCCCCCTGGAATCAACTCCTAGTCCTCCAGACCTGTACAAAACGACTCGAGACGCGTCAGGATGAGTATCATGAAAACAACGTGTCGGTTCAGCTCCACGTGGCGTCCTGAGCTTCACCAGATAAACAGGAAGCTGCTGCTTCTGGTGTGTCGCAGCACATGAACACAGCAACACACACACACACACACACACACACACATCTGAAGCAGCAGCAGGTACGCTTTGTGTTGTTCTGCTCACATGTGTGGCAGTTGTGCGTCACCAGGTCAGCTGATCACATGACCTGACATGACATCATTGCCTCTCATGCAAATCTGCTGCAGTGAAAGCAGTAGCTCATTTGCATACACTTTACCTGACAGAACACCTGAGGTCACATGACCTATGCCAACACACACTGGGTTTATGTAACTCTGTGTGTGTGTGTGTGTGTGTATGTGTGTGTTACAAGCAGGTAAGGGTTGTGATCAGTGATCAATAACACTGATCAGTTCAGCTCAGATCGGATTAAACCGTAACAACAGGGGGCGCCCGGACAGCTCACCAGGTAGGGCAGGTGACCCATGTACAGGAGCTCTGGTCCCCGACGCAGCGGCCGCGGCTCGATTCCAGCCAGCGGCTCATTGGCTGCGTGTCCCGTCCCCGCTCGCCTCCCCACGTTTCTCTGTCCGATCCATTAACGGCAGAAAAGCCCAAAAAATATCTTTTAAAAAAACCGTAAAAACAGGAACTTGAAGGTAAAATAATGTTAATGAAGATTCTGAGATTGAAAGCTGCAGATCAACAAACTGTGTGTGTGTGTGTTCATTCATGATGCAGCCAATCAGAGGAGAGCAGGAAGTGTTGGTCTCCTTACTATGTGGGACACCCTCCCAAAGCGTCCAATCCCAGAGCAGCAGGATGAGGACACTCTGTCTGTGTCTCACTGAGGTCTGAGGCTGAAGCAGAACATCTGAGCAGCGATGAAAGACCGATCACACACGGCACATGTTGGCATGAGCCTGCTGGAGACGTGTTGAGTAGTTCTGTGTCATGTCATGACTTCTCACTGCAGGAACAGAACCACAGAACCAGACCCACCAGCCAGTGGAACACGTCCTCACATATAGTTCATATTAATGCGATCTGATGAACAGATTCTCTGCTGAGTGTTGTACGAGGACTGAAGTCTACAGTCACAGCTGGACTGAGCAGAACATGAAGGTTTATCCCAGAGCTGAGCTGTGGTGTGATGAAGTGACTCATAACTGCTGCAGGCCGCAGTCTGAAAGTCGTTCTCTTCAATTTGTGGCAGCGTCTTTAAACTCCAGAACTCGGTTCTTGATTCAGACCATCGGCTAAAGTCTCTGTTTCTGTGGTTCGACTTGTCAAACCTGCTCAATCAGTTACCAAAGTTCAACCAAAATCACGTTCATTGTTGTGTCCCAGTATTTCATGTTGAAGTGTTCTGACGCCTCGTTCTGCGTTCCTGTGACCTGCAGCTACACGTGCTTCACAAAATGTTCTGAGCTTGAAGACGAGGCTTCACGAGCAGCTCAGAGATGCTCAGAGTGAGACAGACCAACCACACGGACAGACGTGGCTGCCGCTCACAGACCAGCGCTGCTACAAGCTGATGCTAATGCTAATGCTAGCAGGTGCTCTGCTGTGTTTCTGCTGAAGACGCTGCTGTTCAGCTGCTGCACCGTCACTGTCTCAGGGTTTGTGGAAGAAAAGGAGGAGAAACGGGAAGAACAGGAGGACGCTGAGAACAGGCTGTTCTGCAGGTTTGGACTGAAAGACGTGTTGGATTCACAGCCACGCTCTGCTTCCTGACGCTCTGCTGCCGCCACGCCTGCACCTGTGTCAGGTTTCTATTCACAGCTGCACAGGTAAGCCGAGGCTCCGCCCTCCACTGTGTCACCACGGTGACATTAGCCTCAGGGTGACTCTGGGTGTGTCGGCAGAAAAACGCTGCCTGTCGAGGAACTTTGATCTGCAGAGTCACACAGAGGCAGGCAAAGGTCGCTGATACCAGGCAGAGGCTGCAACGCCTCAACGTCTGCATCACCTGTGACGTCTGCATCACCTGTGACGTCTGCATCACCTG